GTGATCTTCACTTGCTGCAACTTCTGCCTCCTGGGTTCAAGAGATTCTCCTGCCTCAGCCTACCGAGCAGCTGGGATTACAGGTGCCCACAACCACGCCTAGCTAATTTTTATATTTTTAGTAGAGACAGGTTTCATCATGTCAGTCAGGCTGGTCTCGAACTCCTGACCTCAGATGATCCACCTGCCTCCGCCTCCCAAAGTGCTGGGATTACAGGCACGAGCCACCACACCCAGCCAAAAAAGAACATTTTCTATGTAACTCCCAGTGCAATAGCTCATTCAAGCAAGGATCATCAATAAATGCTCAAGCAATCAGGTGAAAAGTTAGTTGTTGGGGAATAGGATATTCACATGGTACCAAAGCATCACCCCACAGATAATTTACTAATTACAAAGGGGTAAATGTACTTTACAATGGATAGATATGGCAGTTTACACCTTAACAAACTTAGTATTACTATTTGTGGAACAACCTGTCATTAAGTGTCATATATGCCTCCTAATTTGGTTAGGAGGATATACTGTAGGATGAATACACGATAGTACCTAGGAATTATTCCTGCCAAAAACACTTAATTCGAATCTAATTCCACCTCTGGACCCAGTTTCTAGTTTACAGGAAATACAGAGAATGGAGGAACAAATTAAGAAACAGACAAAATTCAGAATGTGGGACAATCTATAAAACAAGTGACCTAAATTAAAAGAGAGTAAGGAGACAAAAACTAAACATGTGAACTCTGATTAGATGCTATTTCAGCAAAGTTACAAAAATACATTTTTGGGACAACTATGGAAATTAGAATATGGAATATATATTAGATGATTTTTTAAAAGTTATGATTAAATATAAATTACCAATAAACAAAAAAGTTTAACCTTACCAATTATTAAAACAAAATATGTTAAAATTTACCTATCAAATTGGTGACACTAAAAATTAATACAATTTTTTGGGGCAGGACCATCTGGTAACATGTAACAGTTTTTTAAATGTTTATATACTTTACCCAGCAATTCCACTTCTAGGGATTCATCCTATAGAAATAAGAGTTGTACATAAACATTTATTGACCAGAATGTTCACTGCAGCATTACTAGTGAAAATGGACACAATCTAATTTACCAAGATGAAATAAATTATATAATAAAATACTTTGTAATCATTAAAAATCTTAATTTCAAATATTTAACATGAAAAGTTCCTTAATATATTAAGTACAAAGAAAGCAGATTATAAACTATTAATATGTAATTTCCCTGTATATATTCTACCTTACAGGAAAGATAATTATCAAAATGTTAATTTTGTTATTTCTAGGTGGCAGGATGGATTTATAGGTGATTTTAAGTTTTTTTCTTTGTAGGAGAGAGACTCATTATTTCTAATGTCTGAAAATAAAAAATGGGCCAGGTGCTGTGGCTCATGCCTGTAATTCCAGCACTTTGAGAGGCCAAGGTGGGTGGATCACTTGCGGCCAGGAGTTCGAGACCAGTCTGGCCAAAATTGTGAAACGCTGTCTCTACTAAAAATACAAAAATTAACCAGGTGTGGCTGCCCACACCTGTGGTCCCAGCTACTTGAGAGGCTGAGGCAGGACAATTGCTTGAACCCGGGAGGCAGAGGCTGCAGTGAGCTGAGGTCGCACCACCGCACTCCAGTCTGGGCAACAGAGTAAGACTCTGTCTCCAAAAAAAAAAAAAAAAGAAAAGAATAAAAAATGAAAGACAGAACAAAGTTATTTTTCATAATGCTAGAGGGCAGAACTAGAAACTACCACTAGAAGTTACAGGGAAGCCACATTTGACTCAACATAAGGAATAACTTTCTAACAACTAGAATTTTCTAAGCAATGAATGACCTGCCTTATGAGGTAATGTGTTTTGCATTATTAGAACTCTAAACAAAGGCTAAATGGTCACTTGGCAAAGATACATAGAACAGATTTATGTTTTAGGAGATTAAAGAGAAGCTCTTAATTGTCCTTTTCTACTTTAAGTACATATAGTTTCACAGAAAGTTTTCCACTTGCAAGGATACCAGAAAGGAAGTGGTATTTCTTTTTAAGTGTTATTATAAAAAAAAAAAAAATGCGGCACTAAACTAAAGACATTATACTTACATTAGAATAATGGAATTGAAGGATGATTTACTTTGTTACATTCTACATCAATAATATATACATTATTGATAAAGTGAAAAGAGATAACTAACCCCATGGAGAGGATTCAAACTGAACTGGCAAGAACATTTGAATCTACTCCTTACTAATTTCTCTGTGTCTGATAAGAACCTGAACAATTATACTTTTTTAAGGTTAAATACAATAAACATCTCAAAAAGGAGGACAGGAAGTACTATGCTCCCCTTTTGTGCTTCTGGCTGCACTATAATTCACATACAAATGGAGGAAAGGTGAAGAATACAGCACTCCCGCCCTTGCAATATGGTATATAAAAATCTTACGATTTTGGATGTAGGAACACTGGGCAATGGAAGTGACAGAAAAACTTATTATACTGGGTTCCTGGAAGGCAGAAGGAAGTGCCAGAGGTCTGTGAAATTTTTAGAGTAATTTGTAATGTTGAAAAAAATGAATGCCCTAAAAGACGTGCTTAAAAAACAACTTTTTAATTATGGAAATTGTCAAATATACACAAAAGTAGAAAGTGGACTCACCACTCACCTTCATTTATCAACATTTTATCAAAGCTATTTCCAGTATTTTTTGTCTGTGATTTAAAAACAAACAGTAGATTTAAGGCTATTTTACCTATAAAAAATTCAGTATGAAAAGATATCCTTTCTTGCTGATAACAGCAACTATTCAATGTTAGTTGCTAGCGCTAGGTACTGTTCTATGCCTTATACCCGTACAATTTTCATGTAAGCTAAGATTTGATATTATCCCCATTTTACAAATGAGTTTTTAATGGCTCACCCAGCCAGTAAGCAGTGGTGCTAAGATGTGAACCCAGATGTTAACTCTAGACTAGACTTTCTTCTCTCAACCACTGAAGTATGCTGCCTATTCACTATAGTTATTCTAGCTATTCTTTATGGGATATAGATTGTTGTGGTAATACTGGGAGAGGAACTGCTGAATGGGGAAAAAGACTGAAAATGATGTTATAGTGTGAACAGCTGCTCTTTACTTTTCTTGGGAAATTTTCTTTAAATGTTCCAAATGAGAGAGAAAACGTAACTGGATATCATCCGTGTCAACTGCCTAGGATATAAAAAAAGGAGTTAGCTCACAGAGGGCAAAGCAATGACATGACTAGGCCTCTTCCACAGAGCTTGAATATAGACAGATTTCTTTTAAATTTGCCCCTTCAATGGTGGGGGGAGAGGTGGAGAGGAGAGGTTTCTCTACTTCTACCAGACCTAAAATAGTTCTAGCAAAGGGATCTCACAAGCAGAGGGCTAATAATCAGTATAATATTTGGTTGCTTATGAAATATTCAGTGAAAAAAGGACAGGGGATAAAAAATTCTTCTGACTGATGTCTCTGAGTTCTAAACCTTTCACTCATAGTCTTATAAAACAAACAAGAAAAACTACTACATAATTCAGGATTTGTCAAAAGAAAGAAGAGTCTCCTCTGCGAAAGGACCAAAAATCCTCCTAAAACGCTCCCTAGTGATTTACAATAGATCTTAGAGTAATTAAACTAATTATCTTCTCTGTGGAGCTCACCTAGGGCATCCTCCTTCCTCATCTTCCACTTTTCCCAAACACAAGCAGAAGGGCTCCTTCCCTGCTCCTACTGTACTTTATATGTAATTCTATCAGAACACTAATCAATACTGCAGTGTAATTATCTTCTTCTCTGGGCTATGAATTCCCAGAGGGCCACGACCCTATCTTACTCCTCTTTACATTTCTAATTCCTTTTCTTCCTACCTACCACCACTGAAATACTCGAGAAAAGTCTGCAGAATGAATAAAGATGACAGAACATGGATTTTTTTTTTTTTGAGACAGAGTCTCATTCTGTCACCCGTGTTAAAGTGCGATGGCATGATCGTGGCTCACTGCAACCTCTGCCTCCCGGATTCAAGTGATCGTTGTGCCTCAGCCACACAAGTAGCTAGGATTATAGGCATGTGCCACCACACCTGGCTAATTTTTTTTTTCCCAAAAGAATACAATTCAGCTAATTTTTATAGTTTTAGTAGAGATGGGGTTTTGCCATGCTGGCCAGGCTGGTCTTAAACTCCTGGCCTCAAGTGACCTGCCTGCCTCTGCCTCCAGAAGTGTTGAGATTACAGGCATGAGCCACCACGCCTAGCCTGGAGTGATCTTTTTAAGAAGCGATTCTTTTATCAGTATAAAACCTCTCTAACCCCTTCACCTTCAGTTCTTCCCACAAGTCTCCCCTTTAGGAGCTTTCCCATCAGCCAACAGTTCAGGCTGAATGATAACATGGACTGTAGTCTCTTGAGAGCTGGAGAAAGAATCTAGTCACTTTGGTTTGCAATTATCTTCTAATGAAGAGGGGAGAACACAACTTGAAGGATCTGGAAGGTAGCCAAACCTTTCAAGAGCTTTTATTCAGAAGCCAAAATGCAGAATGGTATTTGAAATGCCTGCTTTTACATTTAAATGCTTGAAGGTAACAGGGAAAATAAAACATTGCAAATTTAAAAAACCACTGATTAGTAAGCAGCACCTGGTCATCCACTTCCATCATTTTTCAGACAAAAAATCCCTAGCAAAAATGTACAGGTCTGGGTTAAAGCCCTCAGCCATGAGGGAGGCACCTTTCATGTACTGTTGTAAGCGTGCTTAGACCCCTAATACTGGTTAACCAAACCACTTTGAGAATTATCTAGTTAGGCAATCCCTTTAAACGAAAATCTTTGAGTAAGGAAGTTATCTTTCTCAAGAATTTAAGAAAATTCTAAACAATCTCCCAGTCAGTTTAAGCTGTTACAGTGGAAAGAGAAAGTTGCATCACATGTTTTTATGCCTTTCTTTGGTTACCATGTTACCTTGGTTAGTGTCCTCTGGGTCTTCTATATGAGCAATGACACTCCTGAGATAAAGCTGCTTCTGCTGTTCTAGATTTGATTGTGAAAACGTCGGAACATTAGTCCTTGAATAAAGCAAACCAGAAAAAAGAAAAACAGCCCATTAGAAACAGGAATATAGAGCTTTGTAGAGAGAAGTGATATACTGCTGATTGATTAGAACTAAGTTTCAGAGGCAAAATTATCTTTATGATCAAGAGGCAGAGGACAGTATTAGGCAAAAAAAAAAAAAAAAAAAAACCTCAAATGGAGTATGGAATCGAGAAAAAAGAAGAGAAGCTGGGTGTGGTGGCTAACACATGTAATCCCAGCACTCTGGGAGTCTCAGGCAGGAGGACTGCTTGAGGTCAGGAATTTGAGACCCGCCAGGGCAACACAGTGAAACCCAATAAATTTTTTTTTAAATGAGCTGGACATGGCTGCATGTGCCTATAGTCCGAGCTACTCAGGAGGCTGAGGAGGGAGGATGACTTGAGTTCACGAGTTCAAGCTGCTGTGAGCTATGATCACACCACTGCATTCCAGCTTGAAGGAAATAGATACAACCTCCTGCTACCAAGGAATAGAAAGGTGAAGATTACCTAGTCCCTAGAGAAAGAAAGTATTTGTTGAGTAATTCAAGGTTAGTCAGAAAATAGCTAACTTTCTAGAGTGAAATTGAAAAGTTAAATGGGATAAAGACTGAAAAGAATCACTGTATCTGGCAATCAGCAACGGTGACCTTGGTGAAAGCAGTTTCTGGCCCATATTCATACTGACTGACTGTACCAAAGAGTCAGTGGATAAGAATATTGAGATTGCAAATTTATTACTGTCCCAAGTAGCCTGAGTTGTGAGTTTTTGATATCACTTACATTGTAAGCAATTCACAAGATTTCTCTCAATTATGTGAACAAAATAGAAAACCAGGAAACTGGGATTCAGGGTCGTAGTCAAAGGAAACTTTAGCCTTATTTGTAACAATTTAAATATTTATTTTTTATATAAGGTCTGTCTCCCAGGCTGGTGTGCAGTGGCATGATCTCGGCTCACTGCAACCTCTGTCCCCTGGGCTCAAGCAATCTTCCCACCTCGGTCTCCCTAGTAGCTGGGACCACAGGTGTGCGCCACCATACCTGGGTATTTTTTTTTATTTTTAGTAGAGGCGGGGTCTCGCCATGTTGCCCAGATTGGTACTGAACTCCTGAGTTCTAGCAATTGGCCCACCTCAGCCTCCCAAAGTACTGGGATTACAGGTGTGAGTCACTGCACCCGGCCTAATTAAATTTTTTAAGCAAAATAAATATAATAAATGTATAAACAAAAGAATTTTTTTAAATCTCACTGTAAGGAAGCTAATCTGATTCAACATTAAAAAAAAAGCTTCTCTAGTAGATTCAGTTTAAAAGGACCATGTAGAGACACTGCCATCTCCTGGTAACAAGAGAATAAATTGAAAAGGTGACACAAATTTGCAACCCCTACTAGAATTTTTTTTGCGAGGGCAGTTGTATGCAACTTGGGAGAGATGACAAAATGATTTTCTACTAGTTGTATCTTAACATTTTGGTTAAAATTATTCTAACCTCTTATCATATATGTGACCAGGCTGCCCCATGCATAGGAGAAGATATCTTACATTTGTAGTGTTTTCACTAATATGTCTATTTTGCTTTCAAAATAACCCTGTAAAGCAGCAGAGGAGGTATCATTAGCCTTATTTTATACATAAACATTGAGGTAAGAGATTAACTGACTTGCCAAAAGTCACATAGTTGGTAGTGCTGGAACTTCAAGTTTGCTTACTCCTGGAGCAGGGTTTTTTCCCTACACTAAGAGGAAACAGGAGGGGAAGAAAGAAATTGAAGAGAATCAAAAGAAGTCAGAATATTTAATTATAATTTACATTACCTGGTCTTGGTTTGTAGAACAGGAATGACTTTGCCTAGTCTTCTCTCATGGCCTTTCATCTTCCCAAAATCCTTGTTAAGAATATCCTGCTTTTTTGAGGAAAAGGAATGCAAAAGGAAAGGTGATTCTCAGTTACAAGAAAACCACTGAAAACAAGACTATTTATGGAAATATTTTTTAACCAAAGGCTACAAAAGCATATTCGTGAACACTACTGTGTACCACGTATGACAGTAGTGCTTTAAATAACAACTGTAATCTTAAAAAAAAAAAAAAAGAAAAAGAAAAAAGAAACCCTGGCCAGGTGCAGTGGCTCACGCCTATAATCCCAAAACTTTGGGAGGCCAAGGCGGGTGGATTACCTGAGGTCAGGAGTTTGAGACCACCCTGGCCAACATGGTGAAACCCAGTCTCTACTAAAATATAAAAATTAGCTGGACATGGTGGTGCACATCTGTAATCCCAGCTACTCAAGAGGCTGAGACAGGAGAATTGCTTGAACCTGGGAGGCGGAAGTTGCAGTGAGCTGAGATTGTGCCACTGCACTGCAACCTGAGGGACAGAGTGAGACTCTATCTCAAAAAAAAAAAAAAAGAAACAGTATGTGGCAGGGATTATTACACCCATTTGGCAGATAGGGAATCAGGTTCAAAAAAGTTAGGTAAATTGCCCAAGATTTTTCAGCTCTTTCATGGCTGACTCAGAGATAGTGCTGTATCTTAATATATAGCATGGCAATAAAGATTGAGACATAGGCTGAAACCCAAAGACAGGAAAAATAATAGAATTACCATCTTAGTAATTATTCAACAGAGGGTAATTTAATACTATGTACCAGGTGATATACATTATTTCATTAATCCTTATTATACTATGAAGTATTATTTACTGCAATTTAGATAAAGAAATGTGGGGAAACATAGAGGCTAAATAATTAGCCCAGGGTCACAGTGCTAGTCAGGATTAAAACCCCAATTTGTCTGAATACAAAGCTCTGCCAGATTATAACAAATGTACCACTGTGGAGTAGGATGCTCACAGCAGGGGAAGTTGTGTATGTGTGGAGATAGCGGGTATATGGAAACTCTGCTATACATCTGAATAAAAATAATTTCATTTTTCTCTTCACCTTGAAAAAAATGTACTTACTTTGTTCGATGAGCTGGAAACAACTGGAGATCTCATCTCACAACTTGACTTGTGTGAACCACCACTTCTGCAGGATGACTCCATATTAGAAGGAGTCTCTGAATGGTCTGAGATCCGAGAGAATACAGATGTAGGGTTCTCACTGTCAGGCATATTTTTATCAGAGACAGCTTGTTCAAAGTTATTGTTTGAAGAACAGAGCTGGGGCCCATCCCAGGCAGAGTTATTGGGGCTGACCCCTTCAGATTCAGTACAAAGTTTGCTTTCACTTGGGCTAAGACCATCTTCTCTCATCTCTTCTCCAAGGGAAGAGAGTTTTTCAGTATCTTTGGATGAATCAGTCTCGTCCTTATCAAGCAAAGAATCACAAACTGTTGGATTAAATGGTGCAACAGTTACTTTTATAAGATTCTTTTCTAGTACAGAGCGTCTGTTTAATGGTTTAGTAGGAGTTGGTCCATGACCACTTGATGTACTTAGCTGAGGTAGTTTGAAGAGGTCAGGAGTCTCAGCTACTGGTCCCAAGCTGTAGGATGAATTTTTCTCTTGGGGGATATCAAGTAGAATTTGACTCCCTCTTTCTCCCTTCTCAACATGCCCACCGTCATCTTCCCCAGAAGACTGCTCACATGATGGGTCATCTTCCTTCAACAGTGCATCGATCTCTTCCTCTGTGTAATTTACATCACCATCATCTTCTTCTCCCTCTGACAGCTCCAGCAAGGAGTCATCCAATCCATCCTCATCCAAGGAACTCCAAGAAAATGGGGCACTGTCTTTAGGCAAGACAGCGGTACCAGAAGACTGTTCAGAGGGCACCCGTGAGCACATCATTTCTGGAGAAATAAGACAGTTTCATTGAGGAAGAGAAAATAACCTTATACCAACTCCAGTCCACTATATGTGGGTAATATTCTAGTATTTCAAAATCTTTGCACTGTGACTTGTAGCATAAGAAATAATTTTTTTTTTTTT